GCGTTACGTGCCGGCGTCAAGCGGGTAGGACTATTGCCCCACAAATGGGTAATCTACCAGCAAGTAGGCTTTCACCATCAGACTTCCCCTTCCAAAACGTAGGTGTAGACTATGCAGGCCCGATTAACTCTGTCAGCCGTCAAGGTCGTGGATCTAGATTAGTGAAGGTCTATATCGTCATTTTTGTATGCTTTACCACTAAAGCCATACATTTAGAGTTAGTCGGTGATTTGACGAGCAGTAATTATATACAGGCTTTGCGACGATTTATGTCCCGTAGAGGGAAACCTTTAAATATTTATTCCGATAATGGAACATCATTTGTAGGAGCGTACAATGAAATATCAAAGTTTTTAAAGCAAAATTGTGACTCCTTAGCTGATAGTGTGGCTTAAGATGGGGTCAAATTTCATTTTATACCTGCTTACTCTCCAAATTTTGCTGGTCTCTGGGAGGCGGGAGTAAAGTCGACTAAACACCATTTAGTCCAAGTGTTGGGCAATTGTAATTTGTCATACGAGGAATTGAACTCGACTTTAGTTCAGATTGAAGGTATATTAAATTCACGGCCACTCACTCCTCTTTCGTCGAATTCTGAAGACCTTTTGCCTCTCACTCCTGGGCACTTTTTAATTGGAAGACCTCTTACGTCTCTGCCAGTCAAAGATCTTCGTGATCAGTCGATTCACAGTCTGACACGCCACCAACGCATCGAGCAATTACGGCAACACTTTTGGGCGAGGGTGGCAGCAAGGACTCGTTGCAAATTGGCTCCCTCGTCATTATAAAGGACGACAATTTGCCGCCACTTAAGTGGAAGATGGGGCGGATCGTTACTCTTCATCCAGGCAGCGACAACATAAGCAGAGTTGCTGACATCCGTACAGCGAATGGAGTGGTCAGGCGAGCTGCATCGAAGATTTGCCGTCTATTAGAATCTCCGGTTGAAAGGCAAACTTTCAACGGCTGGGGGCATGTTGAGGCGTCATTGCAAGCGTGAGCGCCTACATTATAGTTATGAGCAATCTAACTATCATAAAAATCTACATCGTGTAACATGGTTTTTTCGTGTGTGTATTAGGGTCCAAAATTATTGTCAGGTTACCTTACTTGAATTACAACAGCCTTGGTGAACAGTCAATTAGAACTTTTATTTTATAAAAATTACCTGAAGTCCTCTCGACCCTGTACATATGTAGTAACGGTATGCGTTATGTATGCAGTAACGGTATGCGGGAGCACTACATAAGAGGAAGTAAAAAAAAACCCTTACGGGTTTTTCCTGGTGATATCTGGTATCTAGGGCGGGTGACGAATCAGCTTTTCTGGAGGTCCTCCCCAGATCATCGGGATCGAACGTCCACTGTATCCACTTGGATTGGGATGAACGGTGTGATCCGTTGATTGAATCGATTATTGACATCGATTAATCGATTTACCCGTATTTATACACGAAATCGCATTCGATAAAATATCATAAATAAAATAGAATCGTCCTTTTAAAAATACGACGTTACAGTTTTTATACTTTGGTCATTTATTATTAAACCGACCCCTCTGCAATATACACAGAAAAAGCAAGAGGTTGGAAATCAATATTATCTTTGGGTTAAATGTAAAATCCACTATGATCAGCAGATTTAAAGAGTCAAATGGAATTATTTAGTAAAGGCTACAGTATTGTAAGCCACATTTTTAATGTTGTATTTAGAGAGCGATAATAATTGAAATATAATAATAAAATATTGGTCTAAGCCTAGCAACTGTCAAATTGAATCAACTTGTACAGTTCTGTGCCCAAACAGGGACTTTCTGTATGTTGGTATGCTTGCAGCGATGAAGTAGAAGCTAACATCTAATTAAGACGGTAGACTTAATTGCGGTAACTCAAAAGATCAAGCTTCTAAAACAACGCATATACAACATCACATGTAAAATATTGTGCTATTACAAACTTATATTTTGTGGTAAGAAAATTGACTATGACGTATTATTATATCGATGTATGGAGGAGTAACTTTTAGTATATCATTGAAATATTAGCATAATTTTTTGAGGATTAATTCCGTAGATGAGTAAACTGTATAAATAATAGTTTTAAAAAGTTTGAGAAAATGTTTAATTTATTCGTGCAGCGTGCATCATTAACAGCCTTTAGGTACTAGTCCACTATTGGACATAGGCCTCTCCTTAAAAGTTTTGGCCTAATATACGCCGCTAGCCTGACGGGTTGGTATAGGGTTTGTTTTAGTTAAGGAGAAGAGGAACAGTGGAGTGGATGGGTCGTCCACTGAGGGTGAGGTGGTGTCGGGGACGCCTATCTCGGTGGGGCTCCCAGAAGTCAGTCTGACTCTGGTCTCTGGGAGCCGAAGAGCATTGGATCGTCTGCGTTCGACGAGCGATGCGACAGCCGGAAACGCGGACGCTCCAGAGACGAGGAGACCGACACGTCCCAAGAAATGATGCCACCAAAAGTGGCAAGCAGCCGTCGAGGTAGGCCACGAAAACCGGCCTCGGCCTCGACCCCTCGACCCCGTCAGGCTCCGCCTTCTCAAACGCGGAGTCGTACAAAAGTGTACGAGTGGACGGCGAGGCCGTAGCGGAGGAGGAGATCGCGGATCTCCTGCTCAAGGTTCGGGAGCCGGTGGGGGGAAATGCCCCCCAGGCTCCCGTGTCCGTGCAGGAGAAGGCGAAAGCGGCGGTGGCCATCATCCACAAGGTGGCCACCAAGTCCGTAAACCTTAAGGGCTCGTTTGTGAGGGCCCTCAAGGACTCCTCCTCCGCTTTGTCGGAGGTCGTGGAGGGCCTAGTGGGCGATGTCTCTCGCCTACAGTTGGCCAACGAGAGGCTGACGGAGCGGGTGAACGAGCTGAGCGCTCAGTTCGCCCGCTTCCAGGCGAACCTCCCCGAGCGGGAAACCCCGTCCGCGTCCCAGCCTGCCCCTACCACCAACTCAGGGGTATTTGACGCCCAACTGCGTGAAATTCTCATCGCAGTTGGGAATATGCTGGACGGACACCTGGCTGGCCTGGAGGCGAGACTGCCCCCTGCGCCGGTTGTGCGCCCCCCGCTCGCGTCGGCACAGCGGCCTAAGGCCGCCGCTCCGACCGCGCTCCCCGTGGTGGGAGGCCGCGTCTCTTACGCGGCGGCGGCGTCTGCCCCGACTCCATCGGCTCCCCAAAAGCCGAGGAGGGGGGCCCAGGTGCCAGCCAAGGCACCCCCCCCAGGCGCCAGCCAAGGCGCAAGCCAAAGTGCCGGCCAAGACGGGGCCTAAAACGGCGCCGAGGAGTGGAGTGGCATTCCCTCCGCTCCCCACTCCGACACCCCTGCCAGGCCCCTCCGCACCTGCCCCCTCCGGCAACGGCCTCTAAAAGGAGGCCACGGAAGCTGCAGCCGCCCAAAACCGCGGCTGTAGTGGTGACCGTGTCCCCGGAGGCGGCTGACGGCGGGCTGTCCTACGCGGTCGTCTTTAAAAAGGCCCGGGACAGCCTCGCCAATTATTTTGGGACGGTGGGGGTCAGGATGCGCCTCGCCCAGACGGGGGCTCGAGTTCTCGAGTTCCCTGGGGCTGTAGGCGCAAAGACGGCGGACTCGTTTGCTGAGAGGCTAGAGGGGTATATTCGCGACCACAGATGGTGTCAAGATCGCCAGGCCTACCAAGTGCGCGGAGCTGTGCATCTCGGGCCTGGACGACTCTGTGACGGCCGAAGATGTCCGCGCTGTAATCCGGGAGAAGACGGGGTGCAGCGCGGACAACGTCAGGGTCGGCACCATCCGCCCCAGTCCAGGAGGGCTTGGCGCCGTGTGGGTCAGCTGTCCCGTAGCGTCGGCCAAAGTATTGGCCAAGTTACAAATGCCTAGCATCGGGACACACGCGCGTCAAGTGTCAAAACTGCTTTGACTGCAGCGGACTATCTTTCCGCTGTGGTCGACCGGGGCATGTGGCGGCGGAATACTCTGCCGCCCCTCACTGCCCGGTGTGTGCGGCGGGTAACAAGCCCGCCAATCACCAGATGGGGCAGGGGGGCTGCAAGCCTCCCCGCAATTCTCAGCAAGCATCGGGGGCTAGCCAGTCGACCCAGGCTGCCTCCGATGTAGTTCGTGCGTCGACGTCGTCGCCCATGGAGGAGGAGGTTGTAGAGACGACCCAGTAATGGATCAAGTCTCCAACCTCCTGGTCCAGACGAACCTGAACCACTGTGCCGCGGCGCAGGATCTCTTCCTGCAAACCATGGCACAGTGGTCGATAGGTGTTGCCGTAGTCGCGGAGCCCTATTTTGTCCCTTCCGGTCCAAACTGGATGGGTGACTGGGACGGCCCCGTGGCAGTCGTCGGTTCCACGGTGGCTCATTCCCCGCCCTTGTCGCTAAGAGACAAGGGCACTGGATATGTTGCTGCCGAGAGGGGGGGATCACTATATATGGTGTATACTTCTCCCTCCACCGGAGTTTGAGCGACTTCGAGGTTTTCCTAACCAGCTTGGAGACCTCGATACGGCGACTAGCGTCTGGGCACGTCCTTGTGCTGGGGGACTTCAACGCAAAGTCCATTGCGTGGGGTTCCCCCAGGATGGACGCAAGGGGCGAGGCCGTAGAGGAGTGGGCGGCCTCAGTGGGCCTCTGTCTTCTCAACAGAGGCTCCACCAACACGTGCGTGCGACAGCAGGGGGGGTTCCATAGTGGACCTTTCGTTCGCTACCCCTGCCCTCGCCGCACGAGTAAGGAACTGGCGTGTCCTGGAAGAGGTTGAGACGCTCTCGGATCATCTTTATATCCGATTTGAGCTCTCCCGGACCCAGGACTCCAGTAGGGGTCACGTGGCGAAGCGTTTATCCCGCGTTCCGCGGTGGGCTGTTGCCAGACTGAACCGGGACCTACTAGAGGAGGCAGCCATAATTCACTCGTGGCTGTCTCCTCGGGCTCCGACCGAGGAGGTCGACGTGGGGGCTGGTCGCTTTCGCTCGGGTACCGGCTCGAGTGCTGGCCCTAGCCCTCAACCACATGGCAGTGGCCGAAGAGGCCGTGAGCTGTGGCGGCGTGCTGTTGGCGGTGTCATTGGACATCGCCAACGCATTCAATAGTCTGCCATTCAACTGCATCAGGGAAGCACTCCACTATCATGGGGTGCCAAAGTACCTGAGGCGGCTAGTGGCAGACTATTTAGAGGAGCGTACCGTCGTGTACGAAGACCGAGACGGTAATTCGAGGTGTCGGCCCATGTCGTGCGGTGTTCCACAGGGGTCTGTTCTTGGACCCCTCTTGTGGAACATAGGGTACGACTGGGCCCTTCGAGCCGATTTCCCCCCCGGGCTGGGTGTAATTTGTTACGCAGATACTCTGGTGACAGCCCGGGGGGCGAACTTCGCCTGGCCAGAAGGGGAGTCTCCCTGGTGGTCGGGCGCATTGAGGCGCTGGGCTTACGGGTGGCCCTAGATAAGACGGAGGCTTCTTATTTCATGGGCCTCGTCGTGGTCCACCCCCTGGCGCCTCAATCGTGGTCAACTCGGTCCTCGTGCCGGTTCGGGCCCAGATGAAATATCTGGGCCTGATCCTCGACGAAAGGTGGCTCTTCGACGAGCACCTGCGACAGCTTGCTCCAAAGCTGGTCGGCGCTGCGTCTGCCCTAGGGCGACTTTTGCCCAATTTGGGTGGACCCAGCGTCGCGACAAGACGGCTGTACACGGGGGTTGTCCGGTCAATGGCACTATACGGTGCACCGGTGTGGGCGGCGGCTCTGACCCATGCGCGGTTACCGCACCGTTGCGACGGAGGTGGCTTGCGCGTTGGCCGGAACTCCCCCGTGGGATTTGGAGGCGGAAGTGCTCGCCGAAGTTTATCGGCGAGTGGCTGACTCCCGGGCGGAGAGCGGATTTCGCCCTCCGCCCGAAGACGTGCGCAAGTGGCGCGAAGCCACTCGCCGAGCCACGATGGCTCGTTGGTCGTTCCGGCTGGAGACTCCACGCGCTGGCTTCGCCGCCGTGGAGGCTCTCCAGCCGGTCATCGCCGAGTGGGCAGGGCGGCAGCACGGGACCCTTACCTTCCGGCTGACGCAGGTGCTTTCCGGGCACGGTTGCTTCGGAAAGTACCTGCACTCGGTCGCTAGGAGGGAACTGAGTCCCGCCTGCCACCACTGCGACTGCAGTGAGGACTCGGCCCAGCACACGCTGGCGGTCTGCCCCGCATGGGCGACGCAGCGCCGGGCCCTCACTGCTGTCATCGGAGTGGATCTCTCGCTACCGGCCGTAGTACGCTCCATGGCCGGTAGCGACAGTTGTTTCACCGCGGTCGCGCCACCGCCGCCGGCGAACCGGGCGGCGGAGGCGCACTTATCACCGCCTCATGCCGCCCTGAGTGTGGCCGCGGGTGGACGGGGTGGGTTTCCCCTCCACCCGCATTAGTTTGGCCAGCCGCGAGGGGGCGAGTGATGATGTTCTGAGTAGTTTGCTCCCTTAGTCGGCTCTTACGACACACATTGGATGAATAGGGGTAGTGACACTCCGTATAATTAATCCATCACCACATGGAATGCAGAATGGAAAACTTAAATTTTGTCTTTTAAAATTACTTTAAAGAAGGTGCGAAACTGTTCGAGAATCAATTACCGTAATAATATGATTTGATTAATTCCATACAAGTTTGTAGAGAGCCCTCTTTGCGTAAAGCAGACTGATACTTGTGCTGAGCTAGTGTGGTGGAACTCTATAGAAACTTGTGTATAAACAAAATATGACGCTAAAAACTTCTACTACTATTTTACTTTTTGACTGTTGATTTTTGTGTATTATGACTTCTTAACCATACAGACATGCTCGTAAGGGAAGTACCTCCATTTTATGAATATATGCAGGTAAGAATCTCCGCTGCCGTTGCTACTGTTAATTGGCACTGGTAACCGCTTACTAAAAGACTAAATATGATCTTGTTTCTCTTTTAATTATATATAAGTCTTATAATAGTTACTAAATTAAACGCTCCGGATACTTTGTTATGATATACAGAAACAATTAAGCCCTGCACAAAATACGTGACGGCTAAGTACGTTATTCCTGTCAGCTTTATAAATAGAGTGCCACATCGCGAACGGAACAGGTGAAACATATACACGTACCGTCTGTGGCTGTATAGATATATGCTAGCACATAATATCAAATGAGACCATTCTAAATATGTAATATTAGCCGAGCCTCAAAGGATTATCTCCAAAAAGTACATTTCACCCCTATCTCTCGTTGCTAGGTCGAATTTTAAAAGTATTTTTTTCTAAAAGACATTTATTTTATGATTGAAATATATTTTGTAAATTTGAATTTCCAGTTCGTGTATTTAAGCTTGATAAGCAGGTCTGTTTTCTTTACGTTATTATGATTAAGTAACTAAGTAAACATTGGCATCTTTTGAACCGCAACCTTTTAACGTGACCTTAAGGTATTTGCTTCGTTCAAAAATGATGTTTTGTTTATATTTTTATAATGTTTCTTATTTTATGACTTGACTGTTTTATTTATACTTTACATAATATACTTAAAAAGCGCTCCGACTTTTACTTTATGCACTGTTATTTTATTTTACCTCAAAACATTTTTTTTTTATATTTACACTTTTTATTTAATATGTCCTGTGGATCAACATGGAATGGTTATTATTTCTGTCATGGAAGATGACTACATTACCGTAAAGCCGATACGAGAATTGTAAAATCGTGACGAGAGTCCCATACTCTCGTCACGATTTTATAATGTGATGTGATAAACCGGATGCCATGTCCATACATGGCATCCGGTTTATCACATCACACAAAGCACTTACACACAGCCTTTAATAGTCCACCGCTGGACATAAGCCTCTCCTTAGAAAGGAGGTTTTGACCGTAATACGTAAAATACGTTTCATAAGGATATTCAAAACTGTTTTGTGAAAGCAATAGTTTCTCATCCTGGGCGGTCTCAGAAAAACCAAAAATAATTGTGAATGTAGTCAACACTAAGTTACTCCAAACATAGAGACTCATTAATGGCCCGCTACCGCAGGTTGGATCCCGTGAGGATTCACGACGGTAGCAACTGGGACACGTCACAATTGGACTGGTAACGAGCGGGTATTATTGATTGAATCCAAAATTCCCAGGTGAATTGTCGTTATTAGTGACACGACAATATAACTAAACTCACGTTCAACAGTACGGCCGCACCTCACATAAAATTTTATATTTCATTTCACTACTGCATTCGCACATCGCAATTTATTTTTCAAAGGGCTTGAAAACATAATATCTATATACAGAAATCCGCAAAATACTCTTTTGATAGAAAGGGAGGTGAATGAATTATGTATACATTTTTTACTGTAGGCAAGTATACAAGTTTCCGAATTTCATTTGCATATTTTAAGGTTACCAATGAAGTCATCGAGAAAGGCAACTTTAGCAACAATATGGAATAGAAACAGTTTTTTACGTAAGTACTATTTAGAGTATTTGTAAACTTTCCGTTCTGTCCAAAGTATGATTGGTATGTAATTACATACCAATCATACTTTGACAGTTCATAAGCACTCAGTGTTTTAACTGTCAAAGTTTACTGTTACAACATAGAGCTGGTAGCAATTACTGTAATGTCGACCTTCACAACGTAAACACTTAATCATATGTTTTATAACTTGTTCATACACGCTTATTTATAGAAATATCATCTAATCTTGAGAATCGATTCTCGAAGTATATTACCCCTTTTTAGGGTTCCGTTCCTCAAGAGGAAAAAAGCACTACTAAAGTATCACTTCATTATACATTTATCTATCACGACTCACTTTTTTTTTAAATACGCTTAGGTATCAAGTTGAAATTAACATCAAATATTTACGTCTACGGGTCACTTAAACCTTTTAAGGAAATCACAAGAGTTGGTTATGTCAATTTTATATTTTAACATTTGATACTTAACTCAAAACCTATAGAGTACCATAAACCTAGAATATTGATATTTTATTTGGTAACAGAAGCCCATAAGTAACAGAAAAGGAACTATTACTGGCAATGTCAAGTTTGTACTGAAATCCCGGTGCCTAAGTCTTACTCGAACGTGTACGATTTTTTCAGATGTCATTCTAGAACTACTTCTGCATACATCGGTATACGTCCCAAAAAACTTATTTTTAAATTTAAGTCAGTAATTAAAAAAAAACACTTAGCAATAAGATTATTGCTTCTACTTCTTTATATTTTTTTAGAATCCTATTTTTTTTAAATAAAGTAGAAACACTAATAGAAGGTGACATTTGAAGCGCGGGATTGATAGGATATACATATAAGATTTCATGTTCGACCTTCAGGAAATTGACTTAACCGCCCGTGGACCCATCAAACCAAAAGTTGGACTTTATTGTGGGCAAATGCTATTGACAAGATAGGTTTTATTCAGTTGACTATCAACCACTAAATGGTTTTTGTTTTTATAGAAAAACTAATAAAAAGCAAGTTAGTAACTTTATCATTCTATTTATGAACAGACTATCAAAAGCATTCTCGACGTATCAATCTTATAATGACGGCAATCTGTGCAATTTTTGTACAAACAATATAAAATAAGTGACGGAAGGTAAAAGTTTCTAATACTTCTATCCTACTTTTGGGATTAAGAAACATTAACCATCGACGAAAATTTCACTTGGAATTGTAAATAAATGAAGTGTACACAATCGATTAATACTGAATCTATATATATATATATATAACTATATATATAACTGCGATATGAACAGTAAAGAAGTATATCATTGGAGAGCCAGGCCTCGGCACATATAGACCGGTTCAACTGAAATGGTGCCACGGTCTTACAAAAAACCGGTGTCAAGAAATTCAGTCAATCCGTGCGGTGATGGATTAATAATACAGAGTGTCACCACCCCTATTCATCCCATGAGTGGTGTATGTTGTTGTATAGTAGGCCAGAACTTCCTTTCCAAGGAGAGGCCTATGTCCAGCAGTGGACTAGTGAAGGGTGTTGATGATGATAAATGATGAGGCAAATCTTCGTTGGTACTTAAGTAGTACACCGAGTAACTGGGGATTCATCACTCAGAGGGCGGTAACGCATTTGTGTCCCTTGAGTTACAGGTGTCCACAGATGCTATCCTGTAGTCACTTTTCATTATAAAAAGTGAATAAAAGATAACTTTGCCAAAATTGTGTTTTTACTTTTTTACCTTCCCATTATAGCGGATGACTCATCAATAGTCTGTTAGTTCACCAAATGAAAATTAATAAATTTGCCTTCTGTCATCTATTAAAATAGTTGTTACTTATTCTCGGCACAGACAAGATCATAAATGGATTACAGTTTAAGAGTTAAGAAAAAATTATGAAAAATCCTTTTATTTAAATATTCAGACAGTATAAAATCAGGACTTTATTAATCCTCGCTGTCACCAGTCTGCCAGTTGTTCCTCTAATCTGTTTTGGAATACCAAGGCTTAATATAGATAAGACCGTAACCTCTTTTCTCAAAAGACAAAAGATTGTTTAAGGTATAATTAAGGCTTTTTTCTTGTGAAATGACTGGAATGTGGGCAAATATAAATGACAATATTGATAGAGAGTGTTGCTGGGTTTTTGATTACCTGTCAAACACATGTATAGCCGTTATCTGACGTGGGAGTAATTATAAGTCACTTTACAAGTTCACTGGGGTTGCCAGTGAATAGTCTATTTAAATTGCGTTACGCGATGGAATTTGTAGTTCAGCAACATTGATTCATAATGTAGTTTATGTAAGTCATTAATTTACATTTATAATTACTTCATACTTGTTGTACAACATGCGCTGATATATTAATATTTACTTTGAAAGAGTCTATACAAGAAAATTAACATGACGAATTATTGAAAGCCTGTTTAAAGTTAATTATATTAATCATTACCTTCTAAAAATTATAAGTAGTTTGAAAGCTTTTGAGTCATGACATTTTCTTTGGAAATTTGAAGCCTCTGGCAGATATTTTACTATTAAATTTGCTCTAATAATTTAAAGATAGAGTTATAAACATCGCTTTAAATTGGCGAGGTTTTTTTTTAAATATTTGTACGAAAGATTACGCTCAAATTGAAATCGATTTTTGTAGCCAAAAATTGTAATTACTTCTTCAGGTTATCATTTTTACCTATTACCCAATACAGAAAGTTGTCCAAATTCAACAGAATGTCTTATCTTTTCTAGAGAGTTC